CACAAAATAAAACACATAAAACACAAGAAAATAAGGACAAAAACACAACAAACAGACGCCCAATCCGAATCACACCATGCATAGAGTTGAAGATCGCAGTCAGTGCGAATATGAATCCCATGACCAGGCGAGCTTTTCAAATATCGAACCACACGCAGAGCAGAGTCCCAGTGAGCCTGCCGCGGCTGATGCATAAATTGAGAGAGTATATTCACCGAATAAGACAGCTCAGGTCGAGTCACTGCTAGATAGATAAGATGTCCGACTAAACGACGATATCGCTCAGGATCAGAGAATAGATCACCCTCAACAAGAGGGAGCTGATGATTCTGCTCTAATGAGAAATCAGCTGGCTTGCTCCCTAGTAATCCGACCTCAGCAATGATATCAAGAGCATACTTCCGCTGACAGAGAAAGAAGCCAGAAGAATTCCGGGCAACCTCGATACCAAGAAAATACATAAGCAATCCAAGATCATTCATGTGAAAACAACCACTCAAGTAACTCTTGAAGGCCGCAATGGATGTGGTATCATTTCCGGAAACAATCAGATCATCAACATAGACTAGAACCTGCAGATGGATAGAACCACGAAGCAGTGTAAAAAGAGAGTAATCATCATAGGACTGGCAAAAACTATACTGTTTCAAAGCCGTAGTCAACTTGGCGAACTAACAGCGGGGGGCCTGTTTCAAGCCATAGAGGGAACGACGAAGACGGCAAACCTGCCCATCAACGCCAGAACAAAAACCAGGAGAAAACTTCATGTAAACCTCCTCAGCCAAATCACCATTAAGAAAAGCATTGTGAACATCCATCTGGTGAAATTTCCAATGCTTACCAGCAACCACAACCAAGAATAACCGAACTGTAACCATTTTGGCGATGGGAGCAAACGTCTCGTGATAGTCAAGACCTTCCACCGGATTATTGCCCAAAATTACCAGACGCACTTTATAGCGCTCAACAGAACCATTAGACTTATGCTTGATCTTAAAGACCCACTTGCACCCAATCGCACGCTTTCCAGATGGAAGAGACACTACATCCCACGTGCCATTGTTCTCCAAGGCACGAATCTCATCCTGCATAGCGGCTCGCCATCGTGGATCAGTCATAGCATCAGCAAAAGTGCGAGGCTCGACAACAGTGGTGATGGCAGCATAAAAACTCGATGAGCTGGAGAAAAAGAATCACAAGAAACATAATGTGCTATAGGATAAGGTGTACTAGAGGATGGAGATGACTGGGGAGAAGCAGTGGGGGGTTCGTTCGAGGACCGGACAGTGTCAACCACAAAGTCCTTTAGCCGAGTGGAAGGAAATTTAGTTCGATGACCCCGACCCAAGGGCACCACTAGAAGAGTGGGAGGGGTAGTGATAACGGAACCCCCCCTATCGTCAGATGTGTTCATATCAGTAGTAGAAGACCCAGTATCAGGAGAAACATGAGGCAAAGGGACAACCGGAAGATCCTCATCATCATTCGGCGCAGAAGAAACGGGCACAACAAGAGGCGGTGGCAAAGAATCTGGCTCAGACGATTCTGACTGGTATGGGAATTCAGCCTCAAGAAACTCCACATCACGAGAGACAAAGAAAATCTGACGATCCAAATCATACAAACACCACCCCTTTTTGCCAAAAGGGTATCCAACAAATAGACAACGACGACTCCGAGCAGCAAACTTGTCACCATTACGATCTTGGTTATGAGCATAACAAAGACAACCAAAAAGCCGCAAATGAGACAAAGAAGGAGCCGAATCATAAAGAATCTCATATGGGGTTTTACCATGTAAAACCGAGGAAGGAGTCCGATTTATCAGATAGACCGCAGTCAAAACACAATGTCCCCAAAAAGGAAGGGGCAGATGAGCCTGAAAACGCAAAGCACGAGCTACATTGAGAATATGTTGATGTTTGCTGTGGGGTGCCTACACAAGAAGTCTCATGCACAATCCCTTGATGACGAAAATAAGAGGCCAAACACATGAACTCACTTCCATTATCAGTACGAACAACACGCACCGATTTACCGAACTGTCGCTTAAGCATAGAAAAAAAATTCAGCAATGTGGAAGCAACCTCCGTCTTATCATTTAATAAGTAAACCCATGTCCCACGAGAACAATCATCCACAATAGTCAAAAAATACCGTGCACCACAGAAGGACGGACAACGATATGGACCCCACAAATCACAATGAATCAAATTAAAAGTCTCATGACTAACAGTTTGACTGATAGGAAAACTACGACGATGTTGTTTAGCACGAAAACAAGCATCACACAATTTATACAAATTACGAGAACTCGAATCAATAATAGGAACCTGAGATAATACTTGAGCAGATGGATGACCCAAACGTTGATGCCACACATCGACAGAAACCTTCCGGACATAAGAAACTGCCGTTGAAACTGTCTCTCGAAAGAAGTAAAGACCGCCCAACTGCTCACCCGCGCCAATCACCTTCTGCGAAGTGCGATCCTTAATAACACAAAATTTGTTAGTAAACTGAGCAGTGCAATCGGAATGATCCAACAATTGATATAATGAAATCAAGCTACA